CTTTTACAATCAATTAAACAATCAAAAAATAATAATAATTCTTTCTTCATCAATTATTGAATCAAGAATCAACAACTTTGTGACCCCGTACATCCATTTCACGCAGCTCACTTAAGGATAACCTGCAGAAACCAAACATTTGCTCAAACAAGACTTCCTACACATCTAAAACCTACAAACATAAATTATTGAATTCTAGGTACTTAACCAAACATTTCAAACCAAAAGGAGTATATATGTTAACAAAACTTGCATTTGACTTACCAATTAACAATGGACACTTTCATAATGCGGATGCAGGTAGGCAGCGTCTCGAATATATTGCTCTAGCCATATAATGCCGAAACCACAAGCCTACTGCAGCTCTATCTCTATCGGTGGGAGGTAAAAACTCTGTGCTTCCCGTCGTCAAACGCGCCAAGCAAAGGCATACGAGAGGACCACAATCCCCTCTGGCTCCCGGCGATTGCTGTGGCGTGGTCTCGTCTCTGACAACTGTGACATTGAACTTCTTTGGCTTCTGTGTCCAGAATGACTCCAATACTTAATCCCATCCAAGAATTTAGCCAAAATGAGAGCTCCATCCTGAAAATCTCTCAAATCAGACAGTGATATGTAATTGATCATGCTGTCATACACTATTATCTTCAGGGATGGGAGCTGAAGTTGGACGAGAATCCAGTGACGGCGTTCCAAAACAGGGATAAACACCTGCGATCATAAGTAATAATTCATTTTTGTGCACTTATTTATTAACACCTTTAAAAAATTTAAAAATTAACACTAACCTTATCGACCTCCCACCATGTAGGATAAAGTTTAGCTTGTCCATTGCCCAACAAAAATGATTCATCTCGTTGATTCTTCAAGTGAACTGCGTGAAAAGCCGTCGGCATTATTGTATATAGCGAATTTTTTTTATTTTTCCTAAGCTTCCTTATTATTAGTAGACGTAACACCCATGCATCGATATGCTGTTTTACAAAAAAATACATATATTAGTGAATTACATTAATTTTTAAACAAATTAATCAAAATCATATATAAGACAAATATAGTCTTACCTCCCCATCCAAATAGCACTGTCTTCAACCCCTAATAGCACACCCCCACCAAGACCGATCAAGCAACAAAAACATTTCATCGTTGAGTTTGCTGATGTCAGTGTAACACCCTTGGCTCCGCTCATGTAGATAAAAATCAACTGCGGTCTTAGCCCAAAGGGTATTATCCACAATTGTTTCTGGTAGTTGTCTCCTCTCCACTTCAGATACCGGAAGGGTACTAGCCGGTAACTCATACGAGAGCCAACTCTCATCCATCATGTCCGGAACCGGTGGGGGTTTCAATACTTCGATATTTACCCATGTGAATCGGGCTCTGGAATGGTGGGAGGGACCTCTTCAACGATGACAGTGGCCTCTGAACGGTGGAGGGGGAATCTTGAGGGAGAATAGGGGCCTCTTGAACGATTGGAGGGGACTCTTGAGGGATGACCGGTGAGTCGGGCTTCTTCTTGCGGAGTCTTCGCACCATTGGGGTGAACGGAGACGTAATAGAACGTCCACGCCATATGATGCGTGAACTCCGTCGTGCAAGGAAAACCCGACGTAAAGCATCCACCTTATCGGGCCGCTAAAAAAAAATTAATACAAATCAGTAAATAAACAGACATGATATTAAACAAAGACAAATATGTTTCAAACTAGCATTGTATTCACCCAAATCATTATTCTATCATAGTTCACAAAATGCTCAGATAACATTCCAGAAGTAAGCACTTATATAAACATTTAAAAGGACATATATAAACATTCCAGAAGAAGAATAGTTTACTTTCGCAACACGAAACTTAAAATCGCAACGCGAAATGACTATCGCAACGCGGAAATGGCTATCGCAATGCGAAATGAAAATCGCAACGACAAAATCGCAACGCGAAATGAAAATCGCAATGCGATTTGTGTTTCGCGTTGCGATTTGTCGTTGCGATTTCATTTCGCGTTGCGATTTTGTCGTTGCGATTTCATTTCGCGTTGCGCTTTTGTCGTTGCGATTTCATTTCGCATTGCGATAGCCATTTCCGCGTTGCGATAGTCATTTTCGTGTTGCGAAAGTAAAACTATTCTTCTGCTGCAAATTGAAACTTGAATGGATTGCATTCAACCAAAAGACAAAAACAAATACTAACAAAACAGATTGGAAGCAACCGAATGAATTACGAGTATGAAAATCTTAAACTTACTCGTTGCGTAGAGTATGAACCTCATTCTGCAACGATGCTACCATCTCACGTAGAGCGGCTACCTCACCGCGTAATGTAGACACCTAACACGCCATGCACCATCGTCTTTGCGTAAAGTACCGACCTCCTCACGCAAGGCATTGACCTCATCACGTAACTCCCCTAACTCATCCCGTTGAGGTGGAGGTGGAGAACAGGGAGATAAACGTCGTGACATCTTTGCCGGTCGCCTATCTTGCGGTGATGGTGGAGAAGAGGCTCGATGATGTGAAAGAATAGGTGATGGCTGTCGTTGTGGAGGTGTATAGCCGGGCGATCAGATGATGGCTCTAGGTGAGGTGATAGCTCTGGGCGAGGTGATGGCTCCCGAAGTGGAGGCTGCTCATCAACCGTTCCATCAAAAAAATGCTTACTAGCTTGCCACCAATCAGTGGCAAGCTCAGCTTCCGTGGGTGTCAGCCTCTGTAGAGGAGTGTTGGCCTCCTAACAATATAAAAGTTTAAACAAAGTTAAATGTGTACTAGTAATAACTTGTTTATAAATATGGTAGTATTTATGTTAACTTACATTATTTATTGTCGTATACCGTAGTAAATCTTACCATTGCAAGGTTCGTTTCCTCTTCCAGGAAATAGCCCTGGGAAATATTTGAAGTTTTTATTGCATATGTCTTCATGGCGGGAAGGCCTCAAATATCCAAAATCTACAACAATATAATAACAAACATTAGTAATTGTTAAATAATTACTTAATTTTGGAAACATTATATAAAAATTCTACTTAAAGGCCCAAATAAGCCTGTCAAAGTGTATTTGGAACCATCACCATGCAAACTTTTCGATCATCCAAGGCAGACGATAACTTATTCATGTAGCTTTCCATAAATACGAGCCCCACGGAAACAGGTTCCACGCATTTAGGTCTTCTACCAATTTGATTAGATCATTTGGAATAGGTGTCTGGCCTCTCTGCCTAAAAAGCCGGCATGCAAAAGAATTAGAAGGCACTCGGACAACGTCGACGTCATCCATCCGAGTAAAACCATCTTTATTATTCAAAAATCTTGTCAGGTCTTCTACGTGTAGACTCGGCCTCTCCAGCTCAGGGAAAACCCGGGATAGCCATGATGGGCGGGTAATGTGTCTAGTGTACCGACCTACATCATCGTGTCCGAAGCGTAGACCGGTGATTAAGCAAAACTCCTCCCGCCCAAAACACGTATACGCCGGTTAAAAGTTCTACAAAAACAATAAACATACTAATTAGATATACCAAAACTACACTGTGAAGATATACCAAAACAATAATAAACATAAATAGTACAAAAACCAATAATAAACATAAATAGTAGTAGTTATTCTTCAAACTTAAATATGCAACACTGTGAATTTCGTATTTGTCTTTGTTTTTGGTTGAAGTAATGCAATTCATTCAAGTTTCAATTTGCAGAAGAAGAATAGTTTCTGAAAATGAAAATCGCAACACTAAAATGACTATCGCAACGAGAGAATCGCAACGCGAAACTAAAATCGCGTTGCGATTTGCATTTCGCGTTGCGATTCTTGGTTGATTTAATAAGCAATCTAAGTGAAATGGTTAATCTATTATTGAAATTACCAGTAAACCTATCATCAATTTCAATATGAAAAACCTAATAATAATGCAAAAATTTCAAAAAGAAAATAATTAAAAAACTAACCCTCGTTGGTTGATTTGGTTGATTTTCCATTTCTGATTGTGAGGGTGGCTCTGAGAGATTTAGATAGACGGATTTCGTCGGAGATGGGTGAGAGAGTGAGAGATGAGATGGGACTGAGTTGTGATTTAGGTTTTAGGTTATGAGTTGCGATTACGGGATATACTGTGGACAGTTCAGTGTTCCAATATTTATATTCATGTTGGAATTTAAAATAAATACTTGGCCGGATAACTAATGCGCTTTGAAAATCGCATTGCGATTATGTTATCGCGTTGCGAAAGTCAGTATCGTGTTGCGAAAGTAAGTATCTCGTTGCGATTTTTTATTATCGCATTGCGATAGTCAGTATCGCATTGCGATTTTCCCAATTCGCGTTGCGATTTTCCCAATTCGCGTTGCGATTTACTTATTCGCATTGCGAATTTCCCAATTGCGTTGCGATTACTTATTCGCATTGCGAATTGGGAAAATCGCAACGATACTGTAGACCATCGCACGCGATTTTCACTATCGCATTGCGAAAATGCAACGCGAATTTGCGATAATGGAGATCGCGTTGCGAATTAGCGATCGCATTGCGATTTTGTTGGTCATTTTGGCAAATCCGAAAAAAGTTGGTTAAAATCGTATATTATATGGGATTTTTGGTCACTGAGGTTATTTTCTCTAAATTTATTTAGTATCTAATTTAAATTAACCGGTTAATAAATTTGGTAAAATACATTCATGATCATTCCAATATCCGAAACAAAATGTTGTACGGTCATCCTGAGGAAGATGACAAAATACATCCTTTGTCCAGACAAGGCTATTTTCGACTTTTCTAGCTTCATAAAAACAAGCGATGACCTAGTCACGTGACCTCCCAAAATCTCCAAGTTTTTTGGTCCCAGCTGGTCACGCCTGATCTTGTTCTTATCCTCAACTGCGTCCTTATCGATCCATTGGCCACGTCATCTCTTTCCCAACCTCAGATCCGAATCTAACGGTCCATATTTATCTTAAAGTGTTCGACCTTTAACGCCATTTCTTCGTTTAAATATCTTCTCCTCCCTTGCTCCACTCAATTCAGCAACAAAGATCTCAAGATAAGCCGATACCTGGCTTAAATTCCGATCAAATGGGACTACTTGATCAGTTATGGGACGACATCATAGCCGGTCCTCCACCGGATAACGGCCTCGGCAAGCTCCGAAAGTACACTTTCCGGCGGCCTAACTCCGCCAAGGGTACGCTAACATGCTTACTGTTTCAACGACGGCACACGCTAGTTTTATTTAAAACAAGAATTATATAAGCAAAAGTAATTGAAACTATGTTAAATCGAACTGGCGTAGGAGATTTTAATATAAAGATAAAATTTATCAAGAGATGAAACGTTTTGAACTTTTTTTTCGTATTATATGTTTATTTTGATTCGACGATCTAATAATGATCAGAATCTGATGGTGGGAGTGGGAGATCATACGGTGATGAAACTTCGTTGGAGGAAGCGATGAGAGTGACACGTACTATTATGATCGTAAAACCGCCGGGTTATCAGATCGGATCTCCTCCGGTTTCGCCGTCAGGTTCTTCTCCTCCGGCTTCTCCGGCCGGAACGTCTCCTCCGGTCTCTCCTTTTTCCGGTAAAAATACATTTAATCTATACTAATAGCTGAATTTATTTTCTTAATTGTACCTTTTCCCCCTTGACGGATAATTAACTGAATCGCTGATGCAAGCGTGTCTTATTGCGTGTTAGAGCCTTAGAGGGACAATTTTGTGTGAAAGCTTCTTTTTTATTTAATCCCGGGATTCGATATATTGAACGATTAATATAAATTGAATATCGTATTAAATTCTTGTATCATATTTAATTATAAAGCTAAAGAAATATTATCTTTCTAAGTTCAGTCCATTTAGGTTATTTTTGTTCTAAAAACCTCGATATCGGATTATTATATGGATCCCGATAATTTAATATAATTCATATTCCTATATACATAGTCATTATTTAAATTATAATAGAGTTAATGTTATCGTTTATTTAAACAAATGCTTAATCAACCGACAATTAGTTATATAAAGTTGTTGATGAAATATTTATTTAGGAAGCAAAGAGTCATTTCGGTTTCGAAGAAGATCGACGGCGGATACGGTCAGGAAGATCGAGCAGGTTGGACTCGGGAGCTCTCATCCTGCTTACAACGTGCGAGATATGAAATGAACCAATTGTGCGGTTAGGTGGGTAGCTTCTATAATCTTTGCATGCATGTCAACTGTGGAAGCCGAGTTTTTGCCGATGTTTACGTTTCTTTCTGCATATTTGTAGTTTTCTTGGATGTTGGAAGTCTGTAATATAATATGTAGATAGGTTATTTATATATGTATATGTACATACCTTAAGGATTTGCCACTTTGTATTCATGCTGTTTTCCCTTTTTCTAATTCAATCCTTTGTTATCATTCAAATTTGACTATTGAGACTCATTCCCTCGTCCAAAAGCCATCCGATCTCATCCTTCCCAACTCAACCTCCGTCTTATCCCCTCTCCCATTCAAACTCGACCAAAAGGCATCCTATATCAAAATACCTCAAAAGTTTATAAGAAACTGCAACCATGGAAAAAAAGCGAAAGAAATCATAGAAAAAAAAGAGAAGTCGAAGAAGTTTACGATCAACGTCAACATAGAGATTAGTCTTTTGATAGAATTTGGAAACATTCGACCATTCTCGACTATGAACAACAACGATAACACGAGCAACGACCACCACTTTGCCCTTGGAGAAGGTAAAGAGAAATGAAATAGGAGGGGATAATTTTTTTTAAGGAAGAAATATATACTCCCAAAACGGCTTCATTTTCGGAGGCCCATTTGATCACATAACCACGTCATTTTGAGTCCCACACCCATGCCCGATCCAAAATTAGGGAGGATTTGCGTTTTTCATGTTTTTGTGACCCACACCCACACCCATTTGCGTTTTGTGACCCTTACACATCGTAAAAACAGATAACGTCACCCTTATTATTATTTATTTATTAGTTGTCCTCAAGTAATTTCGACCCGGAGTTTTAAGGTCTCACCACATACCTTCAACCACAACCAAGAAAAACGCCAAATAGATTTCATTGTTATGCTTGACTATTACCACATTCCATTTATTTATTTAATTTCAATATATAATATAGAGGAAGAATAGAGATAGTATTTAACCCTATGTCCATTCATTCAAAAGAATTTTGTTAAACATAATTAGTTGGATAATTAATCGAACCGTAATAACTAATATTATTATCTTTGTTTATAAATTTATTTTTTAAAATATGTTTAAGCATATAATATGTTCATGACAATGTGAACTTTTTAATAATTCGCGTGTGTGCGTACGTGTGCGTGAGTTTTAGCGTGTATATTGGTGTATTTTGAGTATTAAAAGTCTAAATGATCTTCTCAAATTAAAGACTCTCCTGCTACCATCTTCTCAGATTGAAGATAGATTTCATGCTTAACCCTCAAGTCAAAGTACTCTAAATAATACATTTAAATTTTAAAAATGATATTATTAAGAAAACAATTATAAATTTTAAATAAAAATTATAAAATAAATATGAGACATTTTTTAAAAAAAATTGATTGTGAGAATAATATATAACATTTATTTACGTTCAACTCCCGCCAACTTTGCTTGAAGGTTGATAAGAAACCTATCAATACAAACAAATAGTATCGTCCAAAGTTTCTCCTATTCGATGTCGAATGGAATTATAAAGTAACCCCAGCTCTCGTTTTGGACTTTGGAGTCGATATATTTTTACATTTATTGAAAAACGTTTATAGTTTTACTATGATTTCTCTATATTGAATAAGGGTTATAGTTTTTAAAAAAAAATTAGTCCTTGATAACGTGTACATACTCTACATATATAGTTGCTCGAACCTGAAACTTCTCAGGAGAATAGCACTCCCATATATGGGTTATAATCCATTTACACAATGTAAAAAAAACTAATAGTTTTAGACTTATTAAGATCATGAATGAGTGAAAATTAAATACTGAGATTAACCGTACAAATAAGAAGATATTCAGGAGAGGAAAAAATAAAGAGATAATCTCAGTTATTTATTTCACTCATTCAACAATTTTAAATTAGTACAAAGCTAAAAAAAAATCACATTACGTAAATAGATCCTAACCTATATATATATAATATATATATATATAATATATATATATATATATATATATATATATATATATATATATATATATATATATATTCATGAGAATCTCTAGGATCATAGTCGCTATGAATATTCAAACCTGCTTACACACAAATATCATATGATTTACTTGATGCTTGGAGATGAAGGTAACCCAATAAATAGCCCCTTTTCTCCTTCAAAACAATCACACTACCCCTATCAGATCCAAGCTTCAATTGCTTTTTAAACCCAGAAATCAATTTTCTCAGCAACCAAACATGGGTTGTAGGATAAACCCTATACTTTATGTACTTGTTCTACTCTTATCAATTTCACTGCTCTTGCCTCCCTCTTCATCCACAAACACTAACTTTGGTAAGTCCTTTAAAACCTTGTTAATTACTTGCATATACTTGCTCACGCTCTAATATAACAGTAGTTGGTGCATCGGACTGTTGAGAATTAAGATCAAATGAATAACATCTGATATTACTATTATGCTTCACGTGCAACTACATCACAACCAGCTTATATAGCAGCTATGACTTCAAACTTACTCAATCTCTTAGCTTCCTATAACAACATTCATAACAGAATCCAAAACGTCCCTATCCTTAACAACCATAACAACTCTCATACACACACACTCAATGCACACATTAACAGTGCATGCACATTACACGTTAACAATGCATATTCTAGAATGCAAATGTATATTCCAGAATGTATATTCCAGAATGCATATTCCAATATTCTCCCTACTCTTTTCCTTCTCCTTGAGTAAATGAGAAAATCTGCACTTTGGGTCGAAATTGCTCAAACGAATATTTGGACAATGATTTAGTAAATCATCCGTTCTAGTTGAATCGAAAGTGCGATGCTTCCTTCCGTTCGAATTGAATCGAAAGTGCGATGCTTCCTTCTGTTCTTGAATCGAAAGTGCGATGCCTCCCTTCGTTCTACTATAGACGAATCAAAAGTGTGATGCTTCCCTTCGTTCTACTTTTTCACCTTTATATTCTTCCTTCTTCATCCTTTTACCCAATGTGCCTTTAGATTTTCTGTGAAGCTTTCAAGTCCCATGATTTCTTTGGAGAAAAAGTAACAAATGATGAAAAGATACCACAACAATAAGTTGTTTTTAAATAGATCATGACTATTGAAGAGATCACCAAAACAATACCATTGTTCTCAACCAAATTAACTCGCTTATACCAATGAACAAGTATTCAGCCAACCATCAGCAGTAACTAATTCAGTAAAAGTCAACAGAACAAGACTCAGAAGGAGGAGTATGCACGTCTATGCAACAACTAAATCACTACATCAGAATTCTCACATGTTGCTACTCTGCTCAAATTCACGCTAACTTTGATTTCTTACTTGAATAACGTCCCAAATGCAAGAATCCAATCACCAAACCAGATTTGATTAACCATTGTGAATCACCAACACAAAACTAATGTCAATAAAGCATAAGCAGTAGACAGACAACAACTGATATTCCAAAATCAATTACCATCTAAAACTAAGAAATGATAGTGACCGAGACATGAATCAGTAATAAAACACGAATGATAGAGGAGGCAGCATGCATTTAGATAGAACCTGAAAAACAAACTCAACATATCTCATTGTAGAATTGTAACAGTCGCCAGAAAACATGAAGCGATGACGATGAAACTCTGACGTAGCAAACCATCAAATTTGTAACACTGCCAATGAACAACCAACTGGCGTCAAGGAACCAGATTCAGATATGAGATTCTGATATGAAATAGAGGAAGTTCGACTGGTGAATCGACGAAGATAACAAACAATTAGAGATCCGATGAACCCGAAAAAACAGACAAGATATTTGAGAGCAATTTTGCAGCAGTGATGACAAAGGCATCATCAACAAGAGCGGCAAGAGAATAGCAGGTGGATACGATCATTAACAGCGCTGGAAACAGTCACGATAGCACCAACGAATTCCAAGCAGCGGGAGAAAACATTGTCACTACCGAACTCTCACAAACAAAACGTCGAACAGGTAGTAGATGATTCCAAATAAGATCATAAATGATAAATGCACGACAGAGCCATCATTGTTTAACTCAAATCTTCAATACTGATGTTAAAGAAAAACTGGTGATAAAGAGACAATCACCTCATGATGCGATACTTACGGCAGAAAAAGAAGAAGAAACAGGTGGTGCTAGCGATGACAGCAACATCATTCAATGAAGAGCAGAAGATGAAGAAAAACACGGATGAAGAAAAACAACTTGAAAAAAGGTAATGGAGATAACAGTGGCGAAAGAAAGGTACGGCGGAAGAAAGGCTTCAGGATCTTTAGCAACTGATACCATGTTGAGAATTAAGATCAAATGAATAACATCTGATATTACTATTATGCTTCACGTGCAACTACATCACAACCATCTTATATAGCAGCTATGACTTCAAACTTACTCAATCTCTTAGCTTCCTATAACAACATTCATAACAGAATCCAAAACGTCCCTATCCTTAACAACCATAACAATTCACACACACACACACTCAATGCACACATTAACAGTGCATGCACACATTACACGTTAACAATGCATATTCTAGAATGCAAATGTATATTTCAGAATGTATATTCCAGAATGCATATTCCAATACGGACAAGGGTGTTCACTCCCCCATGACCTACGTTGTGGGCAGGGATGGTCATGGGTTGAGTCGGTTCTTGACTTATCTAAATCTGATCGAAAATTAAATTCAATTATTTTAGTTGTATTTAATTCGATTTAAGTTTAAGAGGACTTCATCTGATCCGATTTTTAAGTCAAAATCTACATCTGACCCAACCCGACCTAATTATATATTATCTATTTTTATTAAGTAAAATAAAGATTTAATTGAAGAAAAAAATAACATAGAAGGAATATTTTTATAATTATCCATAAATATATAAGATATAATTATAATATTATATCATGTCAGATTTTTTCACTCTAAACCCAAATACAAACCCCATCATACCACATCCTCCAAAATACACCCGACCTTACCCA